CCTCCTTCCCTGCCTCCTTCCCCCAATCCCCCTCGCTATTGCGATCCCGATCGGCCCCTCCTCTAATCGAACTCACGATCCTCAATTACGATCGCGATGGTTCCCTCCCCCCCCCAAAAAAACAGGCCAATTGCGACCCCGTGCGCCCCCTTCCCTCCTGTCTTTCTTCAGAACCGAGACTTCGACCCTATGCGGGTTTTTTCTTTTTCTTGACCGAGGATAACGGAGAAAAAAAAAAGGGCTAAAAAAGAAAAAAAAAACAAATAGGCCAATCGCGATCCCTTGTGCCCCCTTCCCCCCTCTTCCCTTTCCCCCCTCCCCCCGCGGCCCTTTCTCTCTTTCGAATTGCTCCCTCCTTCTCCCAATCCCGATCTTCCCTCTTCTCCTCAATCTTGACTGCTATCCTCCTCCGTTGTGATCGCGATCGGATTTCTCCCATCCTCTCCCCCGATTTCCATTCGTATGCCCCTCTCCCCGATCATGACTCGATGTAGGTTTCCTCCCCCTCCCTTTCCCGACTTGCGAGCTCTAGAAAAAAAGAAAAAGAAACAAAGCAAACTCACCTTGATCTGCCATTCTTGCGTGCGCTAACAACCACTTGTCCTTGCACGATCGCAGTGCCCTCGCGCGATGATGCGTTCCTCGTTCACCCCCTGCTCTCCCCACAACCATCGGCCGATGCTCGTATGAACGATCGCACCTCGCGTGTCCACCTTCACCACGGTCGCTCCTTTACGTGCCTTTGCGTGCATGCACCAAGCCATGCTGCCCGCGAATCGCCAAGCCCCGCACAGCAAGCGCTTGTGCAGCGCGCCCGCTGACGAAGCGCTCGGGCAACGAATGCGCCGAGAGGAACAAACTCCCGACCTCACCAGCGCCCGCGCAGCGCACTTCGCAGAAAAAGCAACTCACAGACTCGCGCCCCGCACAGGAAAAAAAAGTGCTGGTGTATCTGCCCGACTCTCCACAGAGGATTCAGATCCAAAGCGACTCACAGACTCACGAATCTCAAAAAAAAAAAAGAAGCGCTGTACCTTCCCCAGCTTCCCGACCTTGCGCACCGGATTCGGGTCCCCCAAAAACCGACTCACGGACACCGCTTCCCCCTTGCCCACTGGCTGGGAGTGGTCCGGCGTGGTGGCGCCCGGTTTCTATTGGGCCCGTCACGCGAGACCCGCTTCTTCCTTTATAGTATTAGAGATAACTAGCTGACTCACACGTGTACGCCTTTACTGTTGGTTGGAAGAATATTTTTGGGTGCAAATGTTCTTGGAGGGGCAGGGTGTGATCACCTCCCCCACCACTTTCTTGTGGGAATGCCTGGCACAGCGTATGTGGTGCGCTGCACGTGTGGTCTGCGTGCATGAGATGCGCAGCGCAACTATCATTCGAACTGATGGTGATCATTTTTTTTGTTCTTGGGAAGGACTGAGGTATCAAATGTTATGATGACATTGGGCATAACATTCTTTTTTTTTTTCTTGATGCCTGCCCAGGTTGACATTGTACTGCAAACTGCGGCAAGGCTGAACAGGATGCTGAACACGTACCATGTGGAAACGTTGTCAGAGGGGAAGATTGCTCATGCTCAGCTGAAAGAGGGTGTAAAGCCGATGAAGGCTGCGATTCAGAGGCACTGGGCCCTACTTCAGAGATTGGTCATGGCAAGCAGCGGCTGTGGACGGATAAACTTGGTACATGAGGGGGCATGTGAGCTTGAGGACTTTTGTGTTGACGGTCTCCTGAGGTCTGAGCAACGTGCCACAAGGCGGTATGCAGATGCAGGAGAGGAGCACAGACAGCTTGAAGGCTCAGGCCTATGGGGCTTGCATGCTTGTAAAGGACCACAGCGAGGACTTGTGCCTGCAACGGCTTGGTTTAATAAAGTGCATGCTATCTTGGTAAGTGCCGTGCTGTAGGTGTGCTTGGGTGGTTGTACGTTTGTTTGGGAGTATGCGAGTGTGGACCAGTTTCATAATAGTAGCTGCATCGGCTTTATCTGGATGGATTTGTCCCGTGTAACTGTGTAACCAGTTCGTGGTGCATTCTTAGTGTAGAACGTCTTGGTGCATTCTAGGCATCAACAGATTTGTCCAATCCTATATAATGCATGCATGCCTCCAGGTTCAGGTTGGAGAGGCAATCCATACCTTTCTGTGAAAATAAAGGAAATTTGAAGTCAAACCCCAAGAACAAGAAAAATGCAGAACCTGTGTTAGTGGGACTCGAAGCTACTTTGTATTCCGCTGGCGAAGTGAGGAAATTAAGGTCTAACGGTCAAACTCGTCCCAACTGAGCTTAGGAGCTCCAATCCATTGACAATGATAAAACTTCGCCTCCAGAAAACGTTGCCTCATCATATGCTGCATGCAGTTGAACTCTTCTCATCGGGTGGAGTTGCTATCTGCCTCCTTATGACCATCGAACATGCTGTGCCCAACTACATTCCTTCTCTATTTCTGCGAGAGAAGTTAGAGAGCTACGTGAAAACTTTGCCTCCAGAAAACGTTGCATTATCATATGCTGCATGCAGTTGAACTCTTCTCATCCAGATTTCTCAATGGGTGGAATTGGTATCTGCCTCCTTATGACCATCCAACATGCTGTGCGCAACTGCAGTCCTCTATTTCTGCGAGAGAAGTTAGAGAGCTACATAGCAATATTATGGGATGATAGTAGAAAACTTTTCCTTTCCCTGGAGACACAGAGATCGCGAAGGACCCTTTTAACAGAAGTGTAATCACTCAAGGCAATGTCATCGACGTCTTGAATAGAAGCAATCATTAACGGAAAGTGCAAATAACAGTGCACATGAGAGCAAAGATAGTAACCGGAACACACAGAACTCTTAATAACGAACAACAGCAATAGTTTCCATGTCCTCCAGTATCTTACCACCTATTCTGTTGTAATCTTGTCCCTGAATTGCCATCTCACTTTTCTTTTCTTCTTTTTTTGTAAAAGCAGAACCTCATGGCTCCATATCCATTCTGGGGAGTGCCAGTCCGGTTCCTTTCCCATCGGCAAGTCAAAAAAAATACAGGGCTTTACTCGCAGCACACTCCTCCGCATTATGGCTTAGAGGACCGAGTGGACGGAATTGATTACTCCCCTTCCGGGAGGATACACCGCCACTCAGTACTGTGATCTACTAACACTCCCACCGCTTTACAACGGCGATCCCCTGGGAAACCCCAGGGTGATGAAGATCCCGGCTGTCTAGCCAGGCTGTCTGCTTTCGCCATCTCACGTTAATCCTGGCTATGGCTGATTCTTCTCTCAACAACAGGTCTTCTCTCTGGCCTCTCCGGACCTATGGTAGTATACTCTCTCCGCCTGAAACCTTCTGGAGATCCTGTGCCATGAGGTGAAAATTTGATTGAAAATGTTGGTCCCTTGATGTCTCGAAGCCTTCTTCTTCAATATGGCTATGGCCTGCAGCCGACAGGTAAGCTTCTTCCATTCCTAGATTCCTCTGTCACACAATACCTCTTGCAGTCTACCCTATTCCCCTCGTCTCCTACCTCTCCTAGGTCTGGTGGCCACCTACTCCCACTACAATAGCTACCGGTTAAAACACACTGCAATGGTTCCCAGTCCAAGCGCTCTATTCCAGTCCTGAGTCCAAGCAGATTGTGTCACAACTGGACTGGCAACGGAGATATATTGGGTTGACTGAGGCACCGGGCACAAGCAGCTGGCTGAGTGGCTGCTGCACCCGGTAGGCCCTGGACGCATCCGGAAGCTTTGTCTGGACTCCCAAATGTGCGTGTCATCTTTGGTTGATGTCTGGACTCATCCGGAAACTTTGTCTGAACTCTCCAATGTGTGTGTCATCTTGGTTGAAGTTAGCTTCTGGCCCTTCTAGGCCTTGCTATTGGTTTCTCAGGGCCTGGGATACCAGAATCCAAGCATGTCTGGGGCTGTAGGCCAACCGTTTCTAAGCCCTACTAGACTGAGGACAGTTCTTAGAGCCTCCTGTCTCTGTGGACTGACTGACCTTACGGTCTTAGAGACGAACTGAGAGTCTGTTGAATGTTTGGATTTCGAACCCCATTTTCCCCCAAGATCTTTCGGGTGATGTAATCACCACCCTCAGGTTACTGAAATGTCTTTGAAAAGAGACAGCAACCCAAACGGTATACTGTGGAAATCGTATTGACTGATCCAGTGCACCGCAACCCAACCGGTATACTGCAGAAATCGTATTGACTGATGCAGTGCACCGCATTGCTAGAGAATTTGCGAATTTGAACTTCGAGGATAACATTATTTCAGAAGAGCCCCTGAGGACGCTGGCACTGGCAACAGCAGAAACGTGTCGGGTGTTTTGCCAGGATGCGAGGAGTAGGACGCTGCATCATCTTGACCTTCACCTTTCTATCTTCCCAGTATTCAAAAGGACATAGTTTTTTCTATCTCTATCTCTATTTCCGCAGTTTTTTCCATCTCTATCTCTATTTCCGCCCTGTCGTGTCGTGTGTGGATGTCGTGAGCGGGCAACAGTTTGTCGAACTGATGTGTGAGGCGGACGAGTCCTTTGTTGGTGTATGTGGTGCAAGGTGTGTTGTCGGAGTCTTTGGATGTGGTGGATTGTGTAATTCGAGTCGCTAGTATAATCTGCGCAATGTTTGGTCTAAGTCGCTGGTGTCATTGTATGCGGTGCGTTGTGTAATGCAAGGCGTTAGAGAAGTCGTGCTTAACTCCAGTCTGCACCCATCTGCATGCCTCGGCTCGCACAAGGCTTGAACACATGTCCTCATGACTTTTCAGGCAAAGGGTTTGAACTTCGAGGATAACGTTAGTTCAGAAGCGTGTCGCTCAGGTTATTTTGTGGCTATGCTTTGGAGGTAGGCATGCTGACATCCACACTGATGTAGTCTGATAAACAACTGCTGGGTAACTCTACAACCTCACATGTGCGTTGAGCCTGTGCGCTGCAGCGTGGGGTGCAGTGTGGAAAAACTAGATGGGGCAAGTGACACTTCGCATCACATGATTATCATCTAATCTTTTTTGGGATTTTCCTTTTTTTTGGCTGTTCTTGTGCATGCTTTGTTCCTCGCGTGTGGTGTAGCAATGCACCGAACAATACGCACATACGCAAATGCTTGCAAACAATGCAAAGGCATGCCCTTGCAAATGTGGTTCAACTGTGTGACTGCCCTTCTGACATCTCGTTATCCTTTGAGAAACGCTCCAAGGGAAGCTGATCGCCCCAGAATGGTTGTCATGGTCCTACCAGTCACAGCAGGAGCTTGCTTGCTACCACCCGTCTCTCCCCTCTGCCCCCCCTGCTCTGCCCCCCCTTACTTCATGCACTGTGATGAAACAGTCTGGCTTTTTTCAGTGGAGTTGTGTACAGGGAACACGAGAACACACTTCTGCTTCCTCTTCCCTGATCAAAATAGCAGATTGAATCATCCCCCATTAGCATGTTGTGATACAGTGTCCACCTGTTGTAAATACTGTCCTGGGTTTTACCACCTCCCCCTCCAGTTTTAGCTAGGCAAAAGGCATATTATTGGTTCTGTCCATTCAATACTTGGGTATTACAAGAGAGAGACCTTGAACGGAGAAGAAATTCCAGCTTCTCCACTTGCATCAGTTTCCATTGTCACGTTTTTTGTCCTCCTCTCCCTCCTCTAGATGTCCTCCTCTCCTTGCTGCCCACCTTATGGCATGCTAAATTGCATGGCGTATGGTGTTACAACTCCTATAGCCTACACGAGCAGAGCATACCTGACTCAGGTACAAAGCACCATAGATTGTTTTTGTATAGAACCATGTCATGCGGCTCAGCAAGTTTGGCTAAATGGTACATACCGTCATGTATAATATCACCAGTGCATGCACAGTATACGGAGCACAAAAAAACATTCTGTGTGCATGCTGATAATATTTTCGATTGTCTCTTCTGGTACATCAAATTGAATTGAAAATAAAAAAACGGAACCCCTCATCTGCTTCCTTTTATTCTGTTCCACCTTCTCCTTCTATTCGTCTTCGTCTGCTCATCTTTTCAGCATTCTGCACATTAATGCTTAACCATAACTGGGGTTCAGGTGCATTGTCACTTACAATGTGATTGGTTAAAGGACTCTGCAGACTGTAGAGGGTTTAGCCTCCTGATGAGACGGTGGAACTCTGACAAAACAGTTTGTCACAGCCCCTCCTTTGTTGTCCGCTTCTCCCTCTCTGCCTAAGGTTTACCTGGCAGTTCTGTTTGGCAATATATAACGGGTGCGCTTCAGCGTTAGATATTCACGACTCACCTGTACAACAGGATGTGTTCCCAGCCCAGAGTAAACTCCCGATTCCAGGGGTAGTCCCTACTCAGGATGCAATGCCAAACGTCGAGGGATTCCCCACGTCAATTTTGTGCAGTCTGTTCTTTGTCTTCTGGTGACTAATCAATTTTGCGCGGGATGCCCTTTCTTTTCGTTTGATGCCATTACTCTGCCTGCTTTCCATGTTTGCTGACATTGATTGCAAACTTGCGGATGTCTTCTTCACAAGCAGTGGGAAGGCCTCACGCTCTTGCTGAAGGTGCGATGTTCATTGAACTTCATGCAGCATTTTTACATGATTGCTGTTTCACCAATGTCTTGTTCTTGTCCGGCATGTGTGGAATCCAGGGATCGAGTCTTCCCCTTGAGCGTTACTGTGGCTGGATGGCAATTTCACGCTGTGTACAAGAACCTGGCTATGATGGTGGTTTCTCCACAGTAGACACTCAATGGTATAGCCAATCTCCCATCTCCGGACAAGTGCTATCAGGGCTATTATAGAGCTGTGTGTTAGGACCCTGCACACGTTAAAATATGCTGCATCTGTATTTGATAAGCAGGACAATTTTATCGATCTATTATTTCTGTGTTTCTCCTTTTTATTTTTGGTTTTTTGCATGTTCTTTTCTTCAAACTGTTAGGAATTTGAACGCCACTCAAAAGTTTCGGAAGCTGATTGTATGAAGATCTATGTTATTTTACTCAATAGTCACAACCAAGGCTGAATACCCGGTCCCACCGGGGCCCCCTTCCCCCACCGGAACCGGGCTGGTTCTACCGGCCTGTGGACCGCGCCGGTTCCCCCCAGGTTGCAATTTGTGCAATTTGATTGCGGGGAGGTTTTGAATTTTTTTGGGGCCGGGAGGCCTCCATGCGGGTCGTGGAGGCCTCCCAGCCCCAAAAAAAATTGAACCGCGATCGGTAGGCCCGCCAGAATATTGAAAAATAGGCGGCCTATCTCGGCCGTCGATCTGCTGAGATCTGCAGCCCAGATAGGTTGCCTGTAATTGAACATTCGGGCGGGAAACCACCCAAACATTGGCCTGCCATCCATACGTTCCCCAGCCACCGCCCCCACCATGCCGCCTCCCGCCTCCAGCTGCTTTCGAGCAGCTCAACCCGTCAGTTCGACACTTCGTCGAAAGTCGACGAGGTTGAGACTGCGTCGCACCCCCCACGTCCGCCCCGGCCTCGGATCGCCATCGCCCCG